TTCTTCTCCTCCTTCTTCCTCCTCCTCCTCCTCCTCTTCTTCTTCTTAGTTCTCTGCTTTTGTTTTTTAATTTTTTATCAATCAAATTTTAAATAAAATTTTGAATTTTGAAAGTTTCAAATGAGGATATATCTGAACTTGAATTTCTTGTTATCAATTTTGATTACTTTGAATCTCAAAATGCTCTGTCTAATGATTCCAGAAAATGTCCCCTTTTTAATAAGAGAATGTCATAATTATTGGGTATTTTTACAAAATGTCACTTTTATGTCATTACAATATTTGAAAATGCCATATGGAGAATGTCTGTTTCTATACGAAATTGTCATTATTGTCATGTTAATTGTTAAGTGGCATTCTTAAAACATATCATTTGCATATGGAAAAACATGTCAGTTGCAAGCTATCCTTAAATGTCATATAAAAAATACACATGTAAATTTTTAAAAAATGACATCTTGTGTACTGTGATGTTAAAATAATGTTGGCAATTTGGAATAGAAAGATGACCTTTACAATTATTAAAACATGTCATTTATTTTTAAATGATGGAATTTTCGAATTAAAATGTCTAAAATAATCTGAAATTGAAATGAAGCACAAAACAGCGAAGAAAACAGAGGGGAGGAAGAAGAAGAACAAGAAGGAGAAGGAGGAGAAGAAGAACAAGAAGAAGAGGAAGAATACCTGATTTTGCTGGAGAAATCGTTTAAGAGGTGGCGGCCAGCGTTGAGCAGACGACTGCGATGGTGGCGGTTGAGTTGCGATCGAAATAGGTCAAGTTGCGTCCATGGCACCTCAGTCCGAAGAGGAGGGCTGAATCGCAGGTGTAGGATCGATGGCAGAGAGATTGGGGAAACGTGATTTTGGGATTAGGGGTAAGAATGTAGTCTGGAGTCCTGTTTAAGCAATTTAAAACTTAAAGTCCTATTTTGGAGTTTTAATATGAGTATGTTAACTACTTTTTTTTATATACAACACGATCCGTACCAAATTGAGTACATAATTTTGCCACTTTTGAAATTTTTCATAAAACAATAAGTTTGACTTTCTCATATTCAAAAGTGGCATTTTCTGATAATAAGTAGTTAGGGTATTATCAAATTCAAATATAAAAAATTGGAAAATATTTACAAATTCAAATATTTCTGACCACTTAATCCTTCAATTCGTGCAAATCTAGCTCTTTAGCTAAAATTTTCAAATTCACCTTGTATTCAAAATATGAAAACTTAAAATATACTACCTCCGTCCCGGAAACAAGTTCCACCTTTCCTTTTCGGGCAGTACCAAAATTAAGTTCCACTTTCAAACATTTCCTTATTTGGCAAATTATCTACATCAAAACAAAGTCAAACAGTGTCAAACGGTGTCCGAACAGTGCCAAACGGTGCACTCCACAGTAAAGTCAAATTTATTTTCATAATATGTGTGAAGTCAAAACCGGAACTTGTTTTAGAACCGGAGGGAGTACGATTATTGAAAATAAAAAATAGAAAGCAGAGGATCACGAAGGAGAAGCAAAAGGAGGAGGAAAAGAAGAAGATTAACTGGCTTCGCTAGAAAAATCACAAAAACTGGGGTGCAGTTGCGATTGATGGCGGAAGGGATGCGGTCGGTGGCGGAGCGAAAATCAAGTGGAGAGACTAGCTAGCCAGGTTGTAGCAACCGAGGTCTATGACGATCAATGAGGTAAGAGCAACTTCAATGGGTGGGTGGATTAGGATGCCAACTCACCAAATGCACTCTCTATATCAATATGTAGTTTCCAATGGTAATATAAATGGACTCCCAAGAGCTGACATGGCAAAGCACACGTCCAACAAAGTTTCTACACTGAGACCCTGGGTGCCACCTTCTGACACACAATTCAAGCAAATATAGAGCATCTCTTCATTAGCTCAAATTAGCTCTAGACCTTTTCCATTTATTAGCCACATAAGCTCCAAAGCACCCACCCATTGGAGTTGCTCTAAGGAATATGCTTGCGATTGTCGATTGATGCCTAATGAAGGAGATCAGCTTGTTGGGTTTAATGATAAGAAGGGACAAACATGTAATATGGAGTCACATTGTAGTGAATAATAAACTTAAAGTCCTACTAAGGAATTTTGTTAATACTTTAGTCCTATTCAATTCAATTTGTTTATATTTTAGAAATAAGACCGCATAACTTGTTGAAATGCATTTTTATCTATGCACATCATTCACGTGGGGTAATTCTTGTTGTAAACAAAATTTGTACACAAATTTTACATTGCTTATGTACATAGGCATTTTGTCAGACAATTTTGCTCTTTTCGAAATGAATTGTGTGTCTATACAGACAATTAGAGGGGTGTGTGCAATTTGTGTACTAATTTTGTGTATAAATGTAATTTTACACAATAATAGCATATTATTGAGTTAGACTATACTTAAAAATTGAAAATATAATTTTCAACACATACTCATACAGTCATAGTTGAAAATGCAAAATTATCCTTTTAACTATCGTATATGAATAATACTCGATGTAAAAAAAAATGTGATAAAAGGAATAGGTACCACTAAAAGAGTAATAAATACAATGGGTGAATGGGTGTTCATTCCAGAAAATCTTTTCACACAATTTTAGTTTTAAGGAAGATGTACTCATGTATTTCATTCATCCGATAAAATTATCTTATTTTTCCTTTTAAATCATTTTTATTTTATTTATACTTCAATTCAATACCAATCATATTAAAAATTGCACCACCTTACACCTTTTTTTTTTTTTTGGATGAGCACCACCTTACACCTATGTACCAAATTTAGATGAATGGGAGACATGGAGATGGTATATGTACATAAATTGATACTCCCTCCGTCCCGCTATGATTGTCTCATTTTACCATTTCGGTCCGTCCCACTAAGATTGTCTCATTCCTTATTTGGTAAAGTTTGTGTGGTTCTAAATCATTCCTACTTTATTCTTACTTTATCAATTCAATATCAACCACATAACCACACTTTTATTAATAATCGTGCCACCTTCTCTTGTCCCAAACTTAGGGGACGGAGGTAGTAAATGAGAGTGGACACATGTTCTCGCTCCCAACCATCTTATCATTTCCAAATAAAGGAGATTGATTAGAGCACATTAGCTGTCCCCCTTGAGAGTAGCACATCCCAGCATCCCACCCCGACCGACTACAAATCTACAATCCATCCTCACCGCGTAACATCTTTTGCCCATTAAAGTCAATGGTGGTGCTAATAACCATACAGCTGCTTATGTAAAACCCCTACACAAGGAATACTCCGCATTAAAAAGACTCACCATATGATAAATATCATACGAGTATCAGATTTGATGCGTCAATATATATATACTACCTCCGTCCCGTTGGAATGTTCCCACTTTCCTTTTTTGGATGTCCCAATGGAAAGTTCTCATTTCTCTAAATGGAAAGTTATCCTACATCAAAACAGTGTCAAACAGTGCAAAACAGTGTCAAACAGTGTCAAACAGTGTCCAAACAGTGTCCAAACAGTAAAATTTACCCCCTTGTAAGTTTATTTCCTTAATATGTGTGTAGGTCAAACCGGGAACATTCCAACGGGACGGAGGGAGTACATTTTATGAATTCTCTTTCAAATTTAAATAAACGTATAGGTATGTATCAAACTCCCACGAGTTATAATTAATTCATGTCATTACCCCTTGACCCCTTCGAAAAGCAAACTTATTTTTCCAAATAAAAAAGTGATTAGTAATTTTGTACGGAGTATAATTTAAAGAACTTATACACCGGAGACCGGAGTTGCTACCTTGCTTTAGAGCAAGGTAGGACATCTGACGTTTGGAAACTCTTCAATAAAAAATTTAACGGCCGTCAGCCGGCAATCGTGAGATCCGTGTCTCGAGAGTGCTGTTCTTCTCATCCCTGTCCATTGTCGCAAGGCACTTTTACTACACGGCAATGGATCGGAATCCGACACATTTGCGTGCATGTATACATACGAGTATAATCATAAGTCATAACATTAGGACAAGTCATTTTACGATTTCTAGCTAAATTGATTATTTGAAGGTGTGAGCGTCACACGACCGATTTGTATCTAGTTACACATCTAGTTAATCATACAATTTGACAGCCTAAATTTCTCATATTTCCCAAATATCATGTGTAATTAATTAACAAATCATCCAAGTTGATGAAATCATTGAAATGCAATGCTGTCCTTTTATAGTGACTCGACCAGCTAAATCCAATGTAGTCCTTTTATAGTGACTCGACCAGCTAAATGTTTAATTTTCAATTTAATGGATTAGACTAGGTCGGCCCACTTTATGTATAGATCGATGTAGATTGCGCATAATGTTGTAGGAAAGCATGTGGAATCCAAGCTGGCAAGTCGACTTGTTTTGAGAAAAGTCAAATTGTTACCATCCCATTAGTTATGGTTGATCTACTTCGTTCAAGGGAGGAGGTACCAAACTTATAAGTAGTTTATAATACCACTCAAATTGAAGAAATTGAAGGTGCACCGGTAGAAAAAGAATGAAAGTCAAGCCGCAAGTAATCTTATTATTACTTAGCTTGATCTCACTTAGTTACATGCTTTACAGTTTTCAATATAATACCGAGTATAAACGGAAATTTTCTGATCTGACCAGGTCTTAACTAATCTAATCTAATAAATATCTAGTCTTTGTGTATTTTAAAATTGTCCAAATCTGGTCTCATCCTTAAAGCAACAAAATGAAATACTCCCTCCGTCCCATATTTATCTCCTTATTTGACTGGGCACATGTTTTAAGATAGTAGAAATGTGTGGTGGAGAATTGTGCAGAGGAGAGAGAAATGTGTAAGAATATGTAAGAATGGTTGTAAACCACAAATTCTTTGCCAAAAAGGGAAAGCGGAATAAATTTGGGATGGATCGAAAAAGAAAGTAGAAGATAATATTGAGACGGAGTATTACTTTTTCATTAGGTGAACTAGACATATTCTATCTATAAATAATAAATAAAAACTTATAAATGTGAATGAGGGTTAAGCCCTTTTGGGAATATAAAATTTGTTGGTGTAACATGAAAGCTTTATCAAGATGTACTTCGTGGTTAATATGTTGTACCAAATCTATCCTATTCTCCGTTTCCTAACGTCTATCCCGACTCCGTTAGTAAAACCTCAACGGTGTCGCCGTCTTCCTTTACGTTCTGGAGTATCCAGTCCCTTAGAAGATCGGTTAGGGCTAGCCGCGAGCTTAGATGAACACTGGCCTGAACATTCCTCACTTTCCTTCTTTCTTTTGGTCTTCTAATGTAAGTTACTTGTCTTCTGCACTGTTATTTTCGCAGTTCGTCCCGAGCATATATCTCAATCCAACCATTTTGAATCGGGGAATGCTTGGGTCATCTTCTCTGTGCATTTTGTTTAATGCTTCATCTTCTTCTATGAATCCCAACATCTAAATCACACCCCGTTTCTCTTCAAATGGTCAGGTGATCCGAACAATACCAAATAGTGCAGTTCAATTGTTTGCTTATGAAACTTACAAGGTATGATACCTTTTAACAACTATTGTATTGTAAGACTTGTTATAGATTCGCACCACTTCACCTAAAATTTGGTTAGAAAATATTTAGGGGAAAGAACAAGAAGCTCACTATGATTGGAAGATTTTCAGCATGTGCATGTGCAGGAATGACTTCAACATTTGTAAGTTTTGATTCGGAACTGTCAGATTTCATCCAACATTTTGAATTTAAATGTCGATTGCCAATTGGGAATCATTTACTCGAGAATGTGGCTTTAGGAGTTATATACTGCAGAAAATAAAGGAAACTGAACAAATGTAGTCATCATTCATCTTGGCAAACTAATCTTGTATTGATTAGACAAGCACATGGATTATAACAAATGATCCTCTATCTTATAAGATCCCATTTCCACAAATCTAAGGAAGTATTTAGTCAAATCCTTCATTGACACACATACAGAGGCATATGTATACAAGTACCCATGTGCTTAAGATTTCCATGGAGAACCAATACAGATGGAATATAACTAATACAGTCATGTTTAGCAATGAAGCCAATGATAACTCACAGAATGGGAGTCTCAATTAGGGAAGAGTCATTCAGTGAGCCACATCTTTGGTGGGTACTGCTATGAAATAAGCCCCTCCAATGCGTACTGTCTTTTGGGCATTTTCTTTTACTAATTGTCACGCTGGCATATACTTTGCTTGGGTGAATTAAGTAGCTAATAGTCAGAAAAAAATCTCATTGTACTATCCTCTTAACCTGGATTTAGATATGTTTAGATTTCATAATCTCAATATGACCACCCTCTTTCCAGTTTTGGTCTAACTATGAAGAAAAGTAAGTCATGTAATCATATAAAAAACATTTTATCAAGTAAATAGAAATCATTTCTTTAATTAATCACACTTAAGGCTAAGTATTATAGGTCTAGGATCATTAGGATCACATCAGGGGATGATGTGAGGTCCCCATTGGGGGGATATGAACTGAAAGAATTATTAAAGGTATGCACAACATTATTAATGTTTATTGTATTAATATCTTTCAGGTTGCTCATAACATGTTGAGAGAGAATGGAAGGAATTGGGTCCTTTTATAATAGAATAGGACCTCCTCTTATGGGAATATCACCATATGTAGCTCTTAACCGTATGAGTGTGTCCCAGGTGTTGCTATTATAGAGTTGTTGTGATGGAGTGTCGAGGTTGCTGGGACAACAAGAGGAAGTGGAGTGATATTTTGAAATCTCAGTATTTTAAGGGTTCCACAAATTCAATACACGACAGTCAGTCCGCAAGAACTGCATATGAAAAACAACCATATTCAAGTAAGAGGTTAAAGAGACGTAAGTTCACTATCTTTTGCTTTATCTTCTAATTGTTTGTGCCATGTGGCTTGAATTCTATCTTTAGATATTGTATTTCCTGTTTAGCTCCTTATCGTATTGACCCCTACTTACTTAAAAGGTATTGAGCTACGCATGTCAATATATGATATAGAAATACATGTGCGTAGTGGTTCGAAGTGTCATATTTATTTGACCGTGAAAATGTTGTACGAAGAAAGCTTCTTTCACTTGGTGCTCAAGCACTTTTTGATTCGTAATGATAGTTTACACTTTACAACATGGCAATAGTAAGACTTTTACAAGATTCCTCTTCAACTGGCTGAAGCGGGAGGTGATGTTCGTCTACCCAGTAATAGGGATGTGGCAACGTCAGAGGTTGTTGTGGAAAGGGCGATCTCATGGTTTGACATCACCCTTTTGAAAGAAGACATGCGTATAAAAAGACACTGCTAGAGGTAGAGATAAGATTTGTCTTCTTTCACATGAGATTTACGGGGCTTTTTTTGGTATGGTTCATTATATTTAAATTTTACAAGTACAATTATAAATAATCCGTTTTTAATATTAAACTGAATAAATTAGTAGTGTTCAGTAGAAAGGTATGTTTGTGCATTATTTGCTGAAATATTTCAAAAATTGAAACTTAGTTGTAAGCCGCACTTTTCTCTATAGCTTTTATCTTCAGTGTGTTTAAATTTAAGCAAATTCTGGCGAAATATTACATTCGTGCTTTTATTTTTAGCTTCAAAGTGCTTAAAATTTAAAGTTTGACAAGTCCCCAAAGCTTTGTCAAGTTAGCCATTGTCAAAGTTAACAAGTCACTCTAACTAGAAAATAAGCGATGCATTGTGTCAAATTGTGTCAATGCGTGACCCTTCTTAATTTGGGTTTTTTTAGAAACAAAAAAAAAACAAAAAAATATTAGGCAACATATTTGTAGTTAATGTTTTAAATGTTCTCTTCCAAGCTCATGAAAGGTTAGATAACATTTGTATGCCTTTTATCTTGCTACTCTAGTATTTCAGTTGTTAGGTTCTATTTTGCTAAGTGTTCTAAAACCGTTCTTTATGTAGCATTCATTCTTAGATTATTCTCATTTTTAGTTTTCTTTACTACTTTTGCTTAGGATTCTTGACCTCGACCCTTTGTAGATACTAAAAAGTAAAAACTTTCCTTACCATGTATCCAGTCTAAGTTTAAAAAACACACTTGCACATATGCCTGGTTTGACCAAAGTAGTTTTCAAAGATCTCTTTTATAAATCCCCAACTGCTGAACATTTAAATTTTAGATTTATATTTACGATAAAAATTTGTACACATATTGGGGGGCAAAATTATATGTTTAACTATCTGTTTCTCCTCCTCCATGGTTCCATCAATCCCTTCCATCTATTAGTGTTGCTAAATAAGTGAGGCTTGTTATGAGATTACATTGCTTTAAGTTACCTTGTGTTTTAATCAATTATGAAACACCATGTAATATGGCCTGTTAATTGTTTTAAGTTTCTCTTTTACTACATGTTTACATCTCATGTTGACTAAGTTAGTTGAGCTGGCTACATCCTCCCCAGGGTACCCTATACATTTGTAATTTGGGAATACCTGTGCAAATGCTGGCCTATTTTTTTTAACCGCTGAAATAATCCATTGGAGTGGAATTACAATAGCACTGAGATTAGCCAATAAGATGGATGTGGGGGAGAGAAAAATGTAAGCCGAGTATTGTACGTCCCTTTGTTAAGTAATTTGAGGAGCTAACATCACTCATCTCAATACAAAGTGTAATTATTCCATGCTCTCCATTACCTATTGTATTTTAGCTGTTAAATATACGGGCATGAAGTTATACAAAAGAAGTCTGAAAGTGTTGGTTGGTTGTGTGAAGAAATTGCTACAAAGTGTATAGAGATGGGGGCCAGTGAAATCTCTTTTTGTCAAATTTACTTTTTCATGCTATTTTAGACTCACGTGGTTCTCTTCAATAACGAAATCTTGTTAGGACTCTCAAACGAGATAATTGGAACATGAAAAGGCAAGCATTTGGCTGAGCAGTGAATCTACATATGTACAACGTGTCTTCCTCTTGAAATGGTCCAAGATTAGAGTGATTTCTGCTTATTTGGACCCCACAAATCCCACTTTGAAGGAAAGAATGACAACAGGTAGAATAGAAAAAGTTAGGTTTAATACACTTTCCATGTTATTTAATCATTTTAACTACTATCATATTTATTTTTTATTCATAGGGGAATGCATTTGATATATTGACTTTTCACGATTAGAGCTATTTGATTTAATAAATAGTTTTTGACTTAAAAAAAATTCTAAAATTGTAAATGTGCTCCTTAATTAGCTGATGTTTGCAGATATCGACTCGCTCTTTTGAGAGCTCTTTTCCTAGGGTGCGCCGCTAGGTTTTCCTTCCGATTTCGATCTCACCGATCTTCGATCGGTTCCTATGTTTGTTTCGATTTTACACACAGACTACCGTCTACCGGCGGCCGGCGAGAGTCATGCGGTTTGGTTGTGCCGACGATTACCGTAAAACAAATATAGTAAGCAGTTTTGGATCGTGATCTTGCTCGGGTTATGGACTCATCGCTTGTGCCACTGGTTTCGATTGGGAAGGTAAGCATGGATTACGGGTTCATTCGGGCTATTATCATAGGGATTAAGAAGATGCCAGTGGAAATTGTGGTGGTGGGTTTGCAAGGAATGTTTCAAGATGAATGGTTAATGATCTGCCCCCCTCCCGAGCCACCGTCGAGGATGATGTATGAAGCATGGATTCGGTTGCTCTTTCAGTTTATTTTATTAACTTTCGTTTTAATCCACGGTCAGTCTATTATGTTTTGTTTTTACTCCTTTTCCTACTGTAAAACTCTTGCATTAGGTTTGGGGTTGAGAGGTTTACCGTAATCGTCGTTAGCTTTAATTTTCCCAAGTTAGGTCTAGCGAGTTATATTGCTTTGTCAAAGGTGATTAACTCAGAGTCTCGACCAAGGGCTGATGATTACATGTGGTCCTTTCACGTTCTTGTACCCCTGCTGAATACTATTTTAATGATATAAGCACCTTACGATTAAAAAAATTAATTTTTGACTTGGTTGTATGACTGATATAGATTGTACCAATACTTTATCCTTTTAGAAAAATTGGCAAATTTAGCTACTTACGTCAAATAACCATTATTGAATGGAGACTGATTTTAGTCAAACTAACCATTGCTAAATGGAGCCTAAATCAGGACACTGGACTGTTCTCATTCTTTATGTTGGTATCATTACATTTTTGAAGACTAGAGGTAATGAATTGGTGTATTGAGTGGGTGGAGTCACCTGCAAAACTGCGTAAATAGAATATGAATGACCAAGTAGTTAAAAAAAATTATACAACATACTTGCACTTGATACATTTTTAAGGGGTTCCAGTACTCAATTGCATCATCCAACCCTTGCACTTGTATTGTAACCTTTCTCCTACTCTGTTGTCCACTTTCAGAGGTCACTTTCTTCTGTCAGCTTTGTTCATCATTGCTGTTGTGTGGGATTCCTTCCTGTTGATGGTGTAGGTGGCAGCATTGTTCATCATTTAGATTACACGACTTTGCTGAATTAGTTAAGTTAAATTGGAGCAACCCAATTGTGAAGAAAGATTGCTATGTAGGCCAATGTGTGCATTTACTTACCCGAGAAATTGTTTAGCAGTTATCTCTTGTTCTCTAAGGTCGTCAACCAATTTTTAAACTAAATATATGATCATTTGAGCTCACCTATGTATGTGTGGTGGGTGTGTCAGGGTGTGTAAGTCTATTTCTCATCTTTATGGATAATTTGTTTGAACTTGAAGATATGGAGTGCACAAATTGGAGAGACTAAAAAAAGAATCAAATTATTTTAAAGTGATACAACATCTGTTCTGTAGGTGTTAGGATGTTTTTCACTAATTTTTTGTCACTAATTTTTCACTAATTTTTTCCTATATATTGAATTTTAAAGTTAGGCATATATAGGCGTATTCCACATACAATATTGGGCATTTTCCTCATCGCGCAACGCGCGTGTAAAAACTAGTGTTATTAATACGTAGTACGGTAGTACGTAGTACATATCTGCTTCAGAAACGAAATACGGAGTATCACTTTTTTACTACTTATTATCTACTCACAAATATTCAGGTCCGGCCAGGCCGGACCACTCTCCTGTCCGGCCACCTCAATTTGAGGTGGTTCTCGGTGTTATTTTTGGCTCAAATATTTTGTGTATGTTCCTCATCAAGTTTAGTTCATTCATACCAAATTTGAGCAAAATATTCAATCGGGAAGACCGTCAAATGATGTTTGCAAGATAACTGTGTTTTATATGTATATTCCGGACCAGTTTTCTTGCAAAAATCATTTGACGACCTTCTCGATTGAATTTTTTGCTCAAATTTGGTATTGATGAACTAGACTTGATGATGAATATACCCAAAAAATTTGAGCCAAAAATACCACCGGGAACCACCTCAAATTGAGGTGGCCGGACCAGGGTCCTGAACTACTAATCTACTAATCTACTTCATATCTCTTCATTTCATTACAGAAAGCAAAATGCAAATAAACTTGAACTGAAGTCTTCTTTATATAGCTTTTCCCCGCCTAAAAGAACCTACAAAATGCGGAACATTCATCTACAACCTAAAATTCATTGAGGCTAGAAATTGTGACAAGTCTACCCTACATTGGGTATGTTTGGCAAATGGCTTATAAGCCAACTTTTAACTTGTTTGACCCATTTTAGCTGTTTGATTAGTCAAACAAGCTAATAATAATGTTTGGTAAATGACTTATAAAATTAGCTTGTTGAGTTTGAAAAGCTGAAAAAATGGATGGTTGAAAAAGCTAAGGGGAGCAGCTTCTTCATTCAGCTGGTTCAATTTACACTCTATCAGCCATTTCGAAACAGCCAATTTTACCAAACAATTATTTATAATCAGCTAACATAAGCAGCCGGTCAAAACAGCTAACACAACCAGCTGTTAGGAAACAACTGACACAACCAGCTAACAGCAACAGCTAACAACCATTTACCAAACAAGGCCATTGTCCGTCAGCTAATCCACATTGCCACATTGGATCATAAACGTCCAACCCTTCCATCCCTTACCAAGTTACCATCCAACCTAAGAATTCCATCAATGCCACACATTGCCCCTGTTGCCGTGTTGCCCCTCTAGCCGACCACTGACGTCTCAGAGTACCACTGAAGAATTCCCCCTCAAAACCCCTCAGAAAACCTAGCCTCATAAGAGATGCAGATCGCTTCGCATTTCGTTAATCACACAATTTGAAAAGCTAAATTTCACATATTTCCAAAAGATTGTGTGTAATTAAGAAATGACATGAGTTGATGAAATGCAACGTTGTCCTCTTATAGTGACTCCACTGGTTACATATACTCCATATTGTTTTAGACAATGGACATGCATGTGGAACCCAAAATGCCAATTCAAATAGTTTTCACCAAAGTGTCAAATGCTAACATTAGTTATGGTTGATCTACTCCATTCAAGAGGTACCCAAATTCATAAATAGTTCATATTATCTACCCCCATAAAGCCCTAACAATAGAAAACGAATGAAAGCAGAAAGTAATAGCTGTGAGTTGCATGTATCCATTAATATGATCTCTTATCTAGCTGAGTCTGCTTATCAATATAATAAGTAGCTTGAGCTCATTTATAGCTCAAAATTTGGCTCAAATGGATGTTACTAATACTATGCCAGCAAATGCTGAAATGGAAGTTGCAAAATTTTTCCTTAGAAAATTCATCAGATTCAGCCATAAAGTAACCCTTACCAAACAGATTCTTAAATTCATTCAAGCTGTGACCTCTCTCAGTTTAACTGTTTAAGGTGACCGTAAATATAGGCAATTTCACAAACAGAATGAAGTACCACTGTTTCATTAGGTGAAGTACACCTATTCTAGGTGACTAATACACATTCTTATACCAGTTGTAACTTCAGATTCAATATCAATACATTAATATCAAAGTAAAGAAAGTCTACAGAGACCAAATGACTCAGAAGTTCCAAACAAACAGCACCGTGCAAAGGGCCGGCTTGGCACACCAAGGAGCAGTGGCAACTGGCAAGGACATATTTGCATTTCTTATACCATTAGCATGGTTTATCTGAAAATTAAATAGCAAAGAGCAACTCAGCATTTTAAATCCTACGATAAGAGCATCTCCAATGCTAATACATTAACGGTGCATATGTGGCATGAGGGATAGCCAATCAAAAAACAATAAATAAAATATCTCTCTCCTTATTTGAGAGATCTTATATCATTTTGGTAAGTATTTCTTCACAATGTCAAGCACAATGTCTAGATGTAGACATTGTGGTTGACACTGCAGAGCAAAACTTACCAAAAACACAGAAGACCGTGGAAAGACGGAGAGTGAAATGTCATAAAATCAATCTTCTTTATCTATCTCTCTCATGCCACATGTGCACCGTGCACATTGTAGCATTGGAGATGCTCTAAGTGTTAATTATGGAGTGATGGAGATACATTACAATGCCACAGTTTATGTAAGATAAGACACTCTTACACAGTTATACATGAAGAAGTTCCACAGCATTAGGAAATAGAAACACAACCAACCACATTAGAACACATTTATGTGAAGTACTGAGCATGAAACGTATTTTATCGTGTTGGAACCACCCATGACCAATCAGCACCAATTGCCCTAAATACTCTAATGATGTACTTTCTTTGACTAGTTAAAAATGAAAACATGTCTAAAATTCTAAATTATACTCTCCTTCCCATATTGTGTTGCAATTTGTGATGTTTAAGGTTGATTGACACTAAAGTTAATTCTCTCTCAATATTATTTAAATTAGTATTCGTAATTAATTAAAACTTAGATGCCACGCTTAAAGTTTTATTTATGAAAAAATGATAATAAAATCAGAGTATTAAACGCAATTGCATAAACAATTACAACAACAATAACATCCAAGCCTTATTCCCAAAAAATGCAATTGCATAGACGAATGAATATTAAAAATTACTCCCTCCGTCCCATTTAAAGGTTCCCGTCCACTATTCTCCGGTCAACGTGCATTGTTCTTAATATTTTACTGTATATATCTAACTTTTATCAAATTTAATTTTTCTTGAATAGATATTATAGAACTTTTAATGTAGTTTCTGAATATGGGGTAAATTTTATTTAATAAAAATAGTCTTATTAATGACAGGAATCCGTTAACTTTATGGTCAGTCAAACATCGTAAACCGCGTGGGAACTTTGAAGTTGGACGAAGCGAGTACAACCCAATTTGGGACAGAGGGAGTATGGTTTGTCTAGTGGGAGGACCAACCAGGGTCAAGATCTCTCAAGGTTTAAATCTCTCACAAGATAGTGGTAAGAAATAATATCTCAAAACAGGGAGTGGTACACCACATAAACAACAACTCTTTGAATAATCATATTCAAAACCAAAAATGGTGAAAATTGACCAACATAAATGCCTTCTTCACTTCTCAGTTACGCAGCAACCTAGCTCCTCTGGGCATTCTGTATAAGTTATGAAGTTATAAGAGATTTTTGAAGTTATAAGAGAAAAGAGATTATATTCAACAGTCTTGTGCTATCCTTTTCAGAAAGAATGTTAGATTGTACAACTCAAAATCTCTCTAATCCATTTGTAACTTGAAAGTTGGTTAGGATCATGTACAATGTCATAGCCCATTTGAATTGAATCAAATGTACGGGTTCTTCATCCAAGAAGATAGGGAACATAGTTCACTATTGGCAACCAATTTTGAACAAAAAAGATATAAAAACCCTGGCTAACAAAAGGAAAAGGAATATCATATCTTAGCCAAGTTTGGTGAATAAATTTTCGAATAAGAAACCTACATGGCTACAGAAGATCAAAATCGGATTCAGAGAGGAAAATTAATTATTTGAATTACCTTGTTAAACTACCGCCTGCTGTCGTAATCGACGACCTCAGAGTCGGTCACAGATTTAGAGTGCTGAACTACAGAGCGTCCAATGGAATTGATCCACTCCTCCTTCTCTTTCTCGGTATCGGCGAGGAGATACATCGGCTCTTCATTGCCGATTGAGAGCTCGAAGGCCAAGGGCTTCTGGAGGACGTCCTCCGCGCCTTTGACGGTGAGACACTTCGCCACAGGGACCACGCCGCGAGGGATGCCGTCGTGCCTGGAGGCAGAAAGGTAGTCTTCGAACCAGAGAAGCTTTCCCTGCTTAAGAACAAACCAACGGCGGCGCCAGGTCTTGATGTGCTGGCCTTGCTTGGTGAGCCACCCTGCTCGTTCCGGGTTGGACCAGAATTCGATCCCAGCGTATTCGGATGGGTCCGGATCCAAACCCGTTACTGATCGGCAGAATCTCTTTAGAGCAAGCATCTCACCGCGTTTCTTAGGGATATGCCCGGCGGTGATGAACTGACTGATGTCGGGTGAAATTCCAGCACCAGTAGTTCTCGTTCTACTCCTGCTTTACCCGCTCTCCGGTCAAGACGCCGGACTTCGGACAGTGACAGCTGTTTCCTTTTTATGGAAACAATGAAAATGGCTACGACAGGACTGGTCGGAATTTCGGAGCTTGAGCATACACTTGTACCGAAAACGAAAATGATTGCATCTGAATCAATAATAGGGTTACTCAATATTTTTGGGGTAATAAACAGGGTTACGTTATACGGAGTACAAATTAAATACTCCGTACAAATGTTTTTTATTTGTATTTAATACACCAAATCTTTGGTGATATAAAAAATAAAAAATGCATCACATTAGTTGATTTAAAAAATGTCACATTCCTTATACATTAGGGCTGGACTCGGGCCGGGCGGCCCGACCCGGGACCGAACCGGCCCGGTCACTGTTTGGCCCGGCCCGGCCCGTGGCCCGGTGGGTCCACCGGTTCGGTTTGGCCCGGCCCGGGTGCTGGGCGGTCCGGGCTCGGGCCCAGGTTTTGGTGAACCGGCCCGGCCGGTTCGGGCCCGGTCCAGGCCGGCTTTTAATTTTTTTTTTTTTTGAAATTTTTTTAAGTTTTAGGTTGGATTAGGTATTTTGGGCCATTTGAGGTGGTTTGGGATGGTTTGGGGTTGAGGGGGAGGGGTAGGGGATTAAATAGGGGAACAAAAAAAAAATTAATTGGGCCGGTTCGGCCCGGCCCGGCCCGGTTTGGCCCGGAACCGGAACCGGCCACCGGCGGTTCGGGCTCGGGCCTCCCCTTTCCTGGCCCGAGGCCCGGCCGGGCCCAGGCCCGAACCGGCCCGAGTCCAGCCCTACTTATACTACAAGTATTCATACAGAATCCTTTCCATGAAAAAATTTAATTGTCATGAAAGAGAAAAATAATTAATATTTTTTGGACGAAGTATAATTTAAGTAGGCATGGACTCGGGCCGGGTGGCCTGACCCGGAACCGGCCCGGCACTGTTTGGGCCCGGCCCGAACCGGTGGCCCGGCCAGTTACCGGTCTGGGTAGGCCCGACCCGGGGGGGTTTACGGTGCGGGCTCGGCCACCCAAAAAAAGAACCGGTCCAGCCGGTCCGGGCCCGGTTCCGGGCTTTTTTTTTCAATTTTTTCTTTTATTCTTGGTTGGGGTGGCCGGCTGGGTGTTTTTGGATGTTTTGGGGGGTGGGGGTGAGGGGGGGGAGGGGGTTAAGTAGAAAAGGCAAAAAAAAAAAAAAACTAACAAGCCCGAGGCCCGGTCCGGACCCGGTGGGGACCACGGCTGGTTCCGGGCCTCCCCCCAAACCTCAAAAGCCCGACCGGGCCCGACCCGGCCCGGATCCATGCATAATTTAGAGATTTTGATAAAATTTATAGAATAAAAGTAAAAATGTTTGAGAATTTCGAAATAGGACTATCATGTTTTTATTTCTTAAATACTATCATGTTTAAACTCTGGTACTGCCAAAACATGACAATAATTACTTATATTTAGGGAACAAAAACATAATAGTCCTATTTTCGGAATATACAAGCATTTTTAGTCGTATTTAGGTTAATTTTTCCTTAAATTTGATCATAAAAAACTTATGTGCATGAATAATTATAACAGAAAGTAATTTGACGCATTATTTAAATAACAAAGCGTTCATGCACTAAATTTCTACTACGTATATCACGAGTGGTTTTGATGCATTAACAAAACGGTCACTGCCTTATTCCCGGAGACTACTAACTTTAGGTCAATGTCATGTACGAGTGTGACCTACAAGATCATTACTAAGATCATTACCTCTAGAATAGCCCCTTGCTTTCCTCACATCAGTGACCCGGCACAAAGTGCCTTCATCAATGGGAGGGTCGTGTTAGATGATATATTTTTGGCACGAGAACTAGTTTGTGGATACAAACGAAAGAAGATATCCCTGAAGTGTATACTTAAGGTAGACCTTAAAAAGTCGATGACATTGTTCATGATATTTTCTGGAGGGTGTGTTACATATTATTAGTTTGCCCCCGCTTTTTGTGGTATGGATTATGGAGGGTGTGTTTCAACTGCTTCATTCTCTATTTTCACTAAACGATGTACTCTTAAGGTTTTTTTCATCAGACTATTTTTTGTATTGTGACTTGGTTATCTTAGGAGGCTCCTTAAAATCTCAGGAATACTAACTCAAACTTCAATTACCATCCCCTTTGCACTTTGCTAAGTATCACTCACCTGGACTGCGTCGACGACTTTATGCTTTTTTCCCAAGGCATATATGATCTATTAAGATTCTTGTGGAGTGTCTTAAAGCAGTTTGGGGATGCCTAGGGTTTGAGAGTGAATCGGGAAAAATCTAACATCTTTTTGGGTGGTATTTGAGGATATGAGTTGTCTAACACACATGACTTTGTTGATCTTTGGCATGGGTGTTCCCAATTGAATACATGGGTATCCCTCTTGCCCCCCTTATGATCTCGGTGGCCCAAAATGCTCCTTTACTTCACATAGTCACGAAGTTCATTAATGTTTGGAACTTCAAGACACTTTCATATGCTAGTGGGATTTTAAACAATATGCTCTATTATTCATGGAATGCAATCGTTTGGATCTAGACCTTCCATATCACCTAGATGGTACTAGATAGGATCGTCCCCCGTCGTGTTTTCCTTAGGAGGAATATGCCAAGATGGGGTGGGTCGATATTTGTCCTCCCCGGGTGAGGGGCCTTAACACTCGAGATATAAAGGTGTGGAACGCGACCCTCCTTGCTTGCACCCTTTGTGATGTCCACGCTAAGGTCAGTATTTGCGGGTGCACTTTGTCTACCTTCGAGGTAGAGATGTGTGGAGTTACACTCCACACTCCCGTGACTCACAATTGATGAATCATCTTTCCCTTACCAGAAACCACATTTTCCTTCATTATTGTAGTACCTCGGATGTTGTTAGTTCTCTACACAATATGTGTGTGAGAGGCAAACTTTCATCAGGTTTATGATTTGTTCTGAATTAAAGGTACTAAGAGGATATGAATGACTTCCATCTGGGAGGTCTAGATTTCTCCCACGTACTCGTTCACCATTTGGCTTGCTTTTAGAAATAAAACTTACCACTTAATTTTTTTAGTCACTTAAAATTGATTAGCAATTGTGTTTTATGTAAGGGTGACTCGAAAGTCGTGCCACACCTATTGTTTCTTTGTCCTTTTACATGAAGGATATGGAGAGCTATCATGAAATGGTTGGGCATCCATCGAGAGATACTACTCCTACGAATGGATGAGGAAGACGTATATGAGAGTACTGGTCAGATCCAAGGTAGTAAACATTGCTTTTTTTGTTTACACCATGTATTGAATATGGAGGACGCATAATGCGATGAGATTTGACGCTCTATGACTCAAGGGGACATTATTACTAGGGGTGGACTATTTGGGACCAGCCCTCCCACCCTTGGACTTCATTACCCAGTCTCAAGTTCAAATTTTCGGGATTGGGGCTGGCTTAGTCCCAATCCGACCTCAATCCTAGACCGACCCAACCCGGTCTAGGACTGCTATCTAACAGGCCGGTCCCGAGCCTCCCTACTCTTTGGCAAGGACCGGCCGGTCTTAGGCCGGTCCTAGGTCCAGTACCGAGATCGAACCGGGACCAAGCCTAGTTATTACTAAAATCAAGCCTGCAGGGTACAATATTTTGTACTTAGTACTTCGTATATAACATTTATACCATGAGAATATGAGATGGTCTCATGGCCCTATTTTGTGGTTGGAGCCTATTCGAGGATTTCGAGGTATTAGAAGATTAACGTAATTGTTACTTTTCACTTTTTCAGTGTTAAAATATACAATACTTCGTATATAATCGTATTTACATTTCATCCAAGAAAAAATACAAAGTACTTCAGAAAACTCAAAGGTGAGCAACTGAATGGTGATAAACTGATAATGGTGCACCTTAAAAATGGTGCATAGTGGTGGACCGGTTCCGGGCCGACAGGCCCGTGGCCCGACCCGACACTGTTTGGAACCAGCCCGGCCCGATGGCCCGGCCAGAGACCGGTCTGGGTAGGCCCAACCTCAAGGTTATACGGGTCGGTCTCAGGTCACCCAAAATAGGAACCGGCCGGGCCCGATTTGGGTCTATTTTTTTTTTTTTTCAATTTTTTTTTTGTTTTTCCCGGGTTGGGCTGGGTGTTTTGTGGGGGGGGGGGGGGGTTAATTAGAAAAGCAAAAAAAATGAAGAAGCCCGGGGACCAGCCCAGGCCGATTCCGGGCCCGAAGCCAAACCCAAAAAGCCCGCCCAAGACCGGCCCGGCCCAGCTTGGAACCGGTCCATGCCTAATGGTGCAAAAGAACTAAAGAAAGCAACCTTTTACAACAGACCTTGACATTGTAGTATGTCTGTCACTCTGTCCTACCTAAAATTTAGAGGTGAAAAATCGGCACAGTTATAAAAGTAAAATCATGTATTCGGTAATGAATTTGTGAAATATGACTAAAGGACCTAAACAATCATGTATTCGGTAATGAATTTGTGGAATATGACTAAAGGACCTAAACAACACATTACACATATACTCTGTATATTACAAATATAATGAGGCGAAATTTATAAGAAAAAAAGACATGAGACAAAAATAGTGGAATAGAGGGATGTATATTACGCACTTGGCAAGCAGTCCTAGCCTCCTAGATAAGCAGACTGCAGATACCATCCTCCCTAGTCTCTGAGCATTTAATATTCGTTTAGCTATATATAAACTCCGTATAAAATAAAGACATCAAACAAGAGCCACCAACCCAGAAGTATTTAATTTAAGGGGTGAAAAACCTACGGAATCAGGCCATCTTTCCGAGCATCTCTCCAAAAAGATTTACTATTTCTCAACAAATGATGACTCAGCTAGATCAATGGCTCTTGCAAGAGCTGCAGCTTTGTTTTCACACTCTCTCTGTTCCTCGCCAGGATCACTATCAGCAACAATACCGGCCCCGGCTTGGATATGAGCTACCCAATCTCGTCTCATATTCACATTCTTGTAGGAGTACATGGTGTCATGGCGCGTTCCCGTGGGGAAAACTATGGTCCTCAAGGCCAATGCAATGTCCATGTCACCCGAGAAGGATATCCCCCCAAATCCACCGCTGTATGGCCCACGCCTTGTTACTTCTAGCTCATCGATCAATTCCATGGCCTTTACCTGTATTACAGCCACAACAGAAAGAAGCTCAGTAGTAGTCTTCTTCACTCTGAGATCCATG